TAAATTTCATTAGATATCTTTAGTATCACTTACATTTGAATATTCACATGTGATGTCATTTTAAAATACATCTGGAAATGTCAGTCTACAAAATGTGCAGCTATTTAATTTCATTAGTCTTTCAGGTGGTGGTCTGTGGGATTTGCTGGACAGCCATATGGTGGAGAGGCAGGTGAGGAATGCCACAGCAGTGGAAGTACAGAGGTACATGGCAGATCCTTTGATTCCCCGGACAGAGGATTCGCTCCACTTCTGGGCAACCAAGAAGAATGTATACCCCCATCTTCATAAACTTGCTTTGCAGTTTATGTGCACCCCAGCATCATCCGTTCCATGTGAGAGGATCTTCTCTAAGGCAGGGGAAATCATATCCAAGAAAAGGAACAGACTCAGTCCTCGCACAGTGGAACAAATTCTTTTCTTGAATAGAAGCCACACAGGATAACCTTAAATGCATCGTGTTTGTATTTCACATGTTCGCAAGGATTCCCCCCACCCAGTTCACAATCAGTTCTTTCCCCAGTTTCAAAATATATCAGAGATGTAGCAAATATCATATGATCTATAAACAGACCTGTCCAGGTGTCCAGTGGTTAATTGCTAAGTACCTGGAGGCAGGACCTCACAGCAGAGGCATGCGCCATACTGTGTTGTATGTTATTATATGTATTTTGCATGTATTTTATTTACCAACATAAAGAAGTGACAGGCAAAGAAATACCACACCATGATGCATGTTTACATGAGAACGGTTTATTGATTAAATCTACCCATTAGACTAATGATGGCCCGCTGGAAGCTGGCGCTCCGGTGTGTACCCAAAAAACAACACACTGCAGAAGCACTGTGTTGTTTGGCCAGAGTCACGTGATCGGTGACGTCCGAAGCTTCATTTCGAACACAAGTGTTTCAGTGGTTTACAGGCAGGTGAATCATTCGCGGGATTTTGAGTTGATTTTGCTCAATTCATTTTATCTGCCGAAGTGAAAAACCTGACATGTCCAAAATCATGTTTTCATAATGGAAATGCCATTACAGCATATGACTTTAGGAACACTTCCATGTGAATTAAAGCTAATGAAGACTACAAAAATGTATTTGACACTATACGTACATTACATTGCTACACAGTTTAGACAATCATTTTGTTTATTGTTTTTAGGTGATAGTCTGCAGGACCCAGGAATACCTGCATATCTACCAGCTTGCAGTGTAGTTCCTGCACTCCACAGCCTCTTCTGTTCCATGCAAGTGGATTTTCTCCAGGGCAGGAGAAACTATTTCTAAGAGAAGAAACAGACTCAGCCAGCGCACAGTAACACTAATCCTCTTTTTAAATGTAAATAACAAAAGGGCTACCTGACAAGTTCTTGATTAGGGGTGGGTTTTGATTATCGCCTTTCTGATTACAATCCATGCTAAATTGAATAAAGTGATATTGATTCATTACAATCCTGTGTCGATTTGTAAATTAACGTTATTATGCCTGAAACGCCAGCATCTCAGGTTAAACCTCACAACATGTCGTCAAACACCATACGTCACAGTGTGTCCTGCGTCCTGATCGCTGCAGACGATCTCCTCCGTGACGTCTCTCCTGTACAGTACAGAATCGCTGCACCGATCGCTAGCAGCGTGACTCTGCAGTGCAGTACTGTATGGCCACGATGTCGACGAAACGTTTTGCACCGTCAAAAATTAAAATTGGCTACTTGATTTCACTTATCGCTGGTTATTTTTAGAACATAACACCCGCGAAAAACGAGGGACAGCTGAGAAATATAACATTTGAATCCATTTGCTCTTTTGCTCTGAGGCGCGGGGAAAAATATCGACAAGTCGATGAACATCATTTACAGATATATTGGGTAAATGCCCAAAACATCTATAGAAATGTAAATCGCCGCTTGATTCATTCATTTGCTTAACTTGATTTGGGCCATAAACAAGGCGCGAATAGGACACCGGAAACAAAGCTCCCCACAGGAGTTTCCACACCGGAAGTAGCATATGCTAACGTGCACATAGTCTATTTCCCATGTTGGGTTTTACATGTGAAACACTTTGCACTGAAATTGATGGAAAATACAAAAAGGTTTCTTCAATCTGACAAAATGTTAGACATAATAGTGTCTAATGAATGTATCTGGGACTTTGAGTAAAAATGTGCCTGTTGTTCTTATGAACCATCCATCCATCTTCATCCGCTTTATCCGAGGCCGGGTCGCGGGGGCAGCAGCCTAAGCAAAGAGGCCCAGACCTCCCTCTCCCCAGCCACCTCCTCCAGCTTGTCCGGGGCAATATGAACCCTCTGTCTCAAATGTTTAGTCAGTTTCATTTTCATGTTTGTTTTCCTTTGTCCCTGTCAAGTTTATACATCTTAGTCTCTGCCTCAGTGTCTGTTTCTTTGTGCATTTAAACCCTTAGTTAGGAGTAAATGTGGATTTCCTGTGGCAAACATGAATGTCAGTTTCTCGGTTTATGAAGGTCACCTTTAACTATGACAGTGCTGAGATACGGACCTCCTGTGAAGTTGTCACCATACTAGTGATGAGCAAAGCGAGACTTCGTGAAACATTTGAAGTCTTTGTGCTTGTATTAATGATTCCAAACAATCTGAAACCATCTCCACAGTGGCACCTGCTGGACAATTTGGCTATTGTCACGTCCTGATCATATTCTGTGAAATGGTGACACAGACAAGTTCTGCACAACTTCAAACAAAACCACTTATTATATCAGACTATCAATATCTTCGATCACTACATGTTTGGAGAAATCCTTCAAAACAATTTGGGTAATTAGTGGTACAGTAGAGTACTAAGGTCACATTAATGAAAGGAAGGAGTTTTACCTCAAAATAGTGTTTTGAGAAAAGTCAAAATGTGGAGATTACAGCTGTTGTTTCAAGCCAGACAAATGCCACAGCAGCTATACCCTCACAAAATGCCTCAGAGAAACAAATCAATCAGCTGTCTTATCATGTCTTGTGATACAACATGCATCCTCTTCATTGCACAAGGGTGTAAACATCGATATCCTTGCTTCTGTCCATTGCCAGACATTTCATTTTATACAAATCCAGCCAACAAGTTTGTGTGTTTGTTCCCTTCTGACCAGATGCAGCTTCTGCACCACCACATGGCCTTATAACTCTCACCACTGTTTATGTGCTAAAAGAGAAATAATTTTAATAAATACCAATTCTGAAGTAGAATTTCACTAACTCATCTACACAAGTCATTTAGTAGCCTGTATATAAGCCATAAGAGTTTGTCTACAAACAACTGTTAACTCCACATTTCCACTTCAAAAAAATATTAAAATAAATCAGTAATATATATTTTTATTTATGTGGCCTCTAATAATTTCCGTTTTATATATTAATCACAGTCGAAATGTGTGTGTGTGTGTCCTCCCATGCTCAGAAGTCTGGGCGCTTAAGTTAATTTGCCAAGTTTGAATTAGCAACTAAGGAAGAACAAACTTGGAGTATTTGATGTTGAGAAACAGCTCTTGTCTTTTGTGGCTCACTTTGTTGCTGCTGCAGCAGTGGCTGTGACATGAACTCTGCCTCATGTGTTCAGAGAGCTGCACACTTCACCAAACTTGAAGGAGCTGTGTATGGTGCTTTGCTTTCATTTGTGTTTCCACCTCTGGCCACCAGGTAGTGCGCTTTTGTGTTTCTAGTCAGCTGGGTTGTGTTTAGGCCCCGTTAGTGAGGAGACAAACAGATGTTCAAATTTAAACCATTTAAACTGGCTCAAATAAAAGACCTCTTTAGTAACTCGGCTCCAAACAGACACTGACAGCAGAGAAGGAAACTGTTTACAGCTTAAAAAACAAACAGTACTGGAATCCACCTGCTGGAGGCGCTGTGAGCTCACTGGACCCAATCAAACAGATTAAAATACTCCTGTGTACTTTTCTCTTTCTTCAATCCTCACCTTTTCAGATTATTTTTTATCCTACTCTCATTTTCAAAGATGCATTTTTTCATTTATTTACAGATTTAAATTATTTGGTTAAATGAATCCAAACAGTCACTTTTAAATACACTCTAAGAAATAAAATGTTGTATTTACTCCACCCAGTTATGTCAACTGGTTCCACACAACTGGGTTAGTGAAATATAAAATGTATGATACATTTAACTTGAACAAAAATTTTAAGTACATCTGATAAATCTACTCAACCAAAACAAGCTCTACTGAAACTATAGGATTAAATCACTTAACAGAATTGCAACTTACTCTATACAAGTTGTAAATTAAATAAATCAAGTTTGTTAATTAACCTAACTTTAATAACACTTGGTGTGTATACTACACACATATATACACGGGAGAAGTAAACATACACTAACAGAATATTCAAGAAGTCAAGAAGAAAAATCCGACTGTTTTTGATTCTTTGTCTTCACTTTTCCGTTTCTGTTACATTTCATGAGTGTGTTTTAACACGGAATAAAAACCAGATCTCAGATTGTAAAACTGTTTCTGTTCAGTCAAGAAACACAGACTGGAGGTCAGACTGTTTTTATTGATTATGAACTGGAGAGAGACGTCTCCACAGCGTCCAGTTAGCCATAAGCTGCTCTTCTTGTATCAGCAGTACTAGAAGCTACATTTGGATCAACACAGACAAATAAATGGATCCAGAACCATCCAGATCAGTTGTTGTGAAAACTGGTCACACAGTGGTGATATTGCTTTTCTCAGGAACTAATTGTACTGAAATGTTACTTAATTTGCATAATAAGAGAGAGACACAAACGTATAATTATGCAATGTAAAAAATTAAAGACGCCTAAACAAAAATATTTAGAGCCTGCAGCGCTCATCATCACAAAGTCTAACCAACAACGTTTAAAATGTCTAAATTATATGTTCCAAAGATTTCATCCATCAGTCTAAGCATGATTAAAATGTGTATAATGCAACAGATTTAATAATAGATGATAGTAATGCAACAGATTTAAAAATACAGTTCCTCTTTCCTCAGCACTAAAAGTACTGTGGGTATTTAAACTGCAGTATAGAAGTAAAAACTGATATCTGCTCTTTAAAAAAGGCACCTAAGATGATAAAAAAAATTTTTCAGGAGAATCAGTCTTATCCAACATCTCTCGACTGAAAAACAAACGAATATATGTACGAGACAGTATACCTGATATACTAAGTAAGAAAAAGTATGAAACACCAATGTGAGAATATTTCTCTGCACAGTAAGTTCATTATTCTGAGTCAGCACAGAGGTGGATACTAGAGTCAGGCTTCACTCTAAACCCAGCATATACAGGTTCAGTGAAGGTGGTGTTGAAGGTGTGCAGGTGGATCAGTTTATCAGAGGAGACACTGTAGAAGGACACAGTTCCTGCAGAACAGTCCACATACACTGCTACTTTGTGAGAGAGAGCTGAGGGGAGAAGAGGGATGGCTCTTAAATCAAATTTGTGACTAGCATAGTAACCTTTATCATCACTGCAGTTGAGACTCCAGGATTGATAATTCCTTCCAAACCTGCTTTCATCACCATCTCCTTTCCGACTGATTCCTCCATAAACTACAGCAACATGAACCTCTCCTCTCCACTCGACCTCCCAGTAACAGTGACCAGTCAGACTGTTAGTACAGAGCAGCTGAGGCCAGTGATCAAAGCTAAGATCATGATGAGGATACAGCTGATCTTCTTCCACATGTGTCACCTCCTTGTTGTCATCAGACAGTTTGAGGTTTCTGTGTGCTGTGTTTGGATCCAGCATCAGATCACAGAAATCTAAAAGGAACCGTGAGAAAAAATGTAGAACAGTACAAGATTGTGTGAATGCAGCTCATAAATCAAAAATACTTACATTTCCTTAGACCTGGTCTCATCCACTGGACTCCTTGAGGCTCCACACTGAAATGAGCACATTATCTTTTAGTATGCAGACATGGCCTTTATGTTCTCTGATTCATCTTTTCTAGAGAAATAACCTTGTGTTTTATTTTATCTCTTAATAAAGTCAAACAGATAATACGGTTCTAAGGTTTTATGTATCAAAGCACAATTAAAAAAATAAATCATCCGGTCCGTACCAGGTTCTTAAATTATCTAAATACCTAAATACAACCTTCAGTCTGCTTTATTTTCTGCCTCCCTGTGTTTCTGTCACTACAATGAACACTGTGCTTCAAATACTATTTCTCTTTCTGTTAACACGTGTGAGGATGTTTCCGTTGCTTAGTTATTCAGTGCAAAACAAAACAAATAAATATATAGAACAAATATTTTGAGAAAAGACTGCTGTGTTCATTCTGATAATGACAAAGGCTTTAGACTTTTTGAGTCTGAATCCGTTTTCAAGTCAAGTTGTTCCTGTTATTGTTTTTGTTTTGTAGCTTCGGTTATTTCCAGCCTCAATAGACCTACTGAGTCCTGCATGCAGAAAACAATAAAAAGTTCAATGAGAAGATGATTTTTTCTCGATTCTCAGGAGGCTATGACAGCAAACATTCCAATTAAGTCAATATTTATTTAATTACACTTTGAATCTGAGTACTTAATTGAACTGAGAGCATATATTATTCTTCCCAATCACAATTAAAAATAACGTGTTCCTGCACAGATGACTTGTTCATGGAAATAGGAATCCTGGTGCCTCAGCTGACTAAAAACAGGGAGGTAAGGCTGTGACTGTGTGGAGCATGAAGTGAGGACATAGGGAACGCAGCAGGAAGCAGCAAAATGAAACTATAAACTGGATCACAGACCCAGAACCATCACAAAGGCACCTGTCAGATCTGGGGTTAAACACATCAAAACCTCACTTAGCCATGGTCATGTGATGTTGGTGTTTTGATTGACACAGTCTTGAAACGTCAGTATCGAGGGTCCAATCCTTATGTATTTGTTACATTCTCCTTCAAGCTGTGTATCCTTCCTCGTGTTTTAACTGTGATTGGTCATTGAGTCATTCACCCACACAGCTGCCCACTTAACTGGACATACAGACTGTATTACTGGCAATCAGATCAGTGGTTACCTTACAATATGCTGGAGAAAAAAATATATTTTAGCTTTATTTCCTGTTTTCCTACCAGAGTATGACCAGTTTCACATGTGGATCCTCCTTTAGAGCAGACAAAAGCTTCATTCCTGAGTTTCCTGGATGATTATAGCTCAAGTCCAGCTCTTTCAAATAGGAGGGATTGGAGCGCAGAGCTGTGGCCAGAGAGGTGAAGCCTGTTCCTGTGATCTGACAGCCTGACAGCCTTCAAACACATACAACATGTCACATCATTGTAATGAACTGCTCTGAATTTGATGGTGTACATGTAGTCAAATTAACAGATTCTGATTTCAGTTAAAGTAGTTAAAAAACAAACAAACTGGCTTTTCTTCACTCAGTTTTAAAAAAGAACAAAACACATTGACTTTCTGTCTTTTTTGCTATGATGGACAATCATAGATAAAGTCATATTTTTCTGATTTATGAAGTGTGTGTTTCACTTCTACTCTATTGTTCTCTCTCAGAACTTACACCACAACAGAAATTAAATCTATAAAATAATGACAGTTGTGAAATACCCAAATCTCCTGAAACAAAGAATCAGCTAACCTGAGAGTTTCCAGCACACACTGTGGACTCCCAAGTCCAACACAAAGCAGCTTCACTCCTGAATCCTGTAGGTTGTTGTTACTCATGTCCAGCTCTCTCAGTCTGGAGGACTGAGAACTTAGAATTGAGGAAAGAGCTTCACAGCTTCTCTCTGTGAGGTTACAGCCACCCAACCTGGAAAGACATGAATAGCAGTGAACTTCCAAACTTTTGAAATAAATACTTTAAAGCAATGTCTTGCCAGGATTAAAATGGATACTTACAGGGCTTTGTTGCAGGCTTTGACCACTGGCAGCAGCTGCAGAAGAGCCTCTTCAGAAGCTGAATATTTCCTCAAGTCAAACACATCCAGACCTGCTTCTGATGACAGTAAGATGAAGACCAGAGCTGACCACTGAGCAGGAGAGAGATTAACTTTGGACAGGTGTCCTGAACTCAGTTGATGCTGGACCTCCTTCACTATAGAGTCATCATTCAATTCATTCAGACAGTGGAGTAGATTCATGCTTTTTATCAGGAGAGAGAGCGCCATTCATCCTTTCTTTAATGTACTTGACTGCTTCCTGATTTATCTGTGAGCTGATTCCTGTTTGTGTGAGCAGGCCTTGTAGGAGATCCTGATTGGATGGTATGGAAAGACCAAGGAGGAAGCGAAGAAACATGTCCAGATGTCCATTTGGACTTTTTAAGGCCTTGTCCACAGCACTCTGGTAGAAATGTCTTACTGAAGATTCTCCAGTCTGCACTGAGGCTGTTTCTTCTTCTTTCAGCAGGTTGATACCAGAGTTGGTGAATGTCAGATTGACATGAAGAGCAGCTAAAAACTCCTGAACACTCAGATGGACAAAACAGTAAACTTTCTCACGGTACAGCCCTCTCTCCTCTTTAAAAATCTGTGTGAACACTCCTGAGTACACTGAGGCTTCTCTGACATTAATGTCACACTCTGTCAGGTCTGATTCATAGAAGATCAGGTTTCCTTTCTTCAGCTCCTGAAACGCCAGTTTCCCCAGTGCTTCAATCATCTTCCTGCTCTCTGGACTCCAGAGAGGATCTGTCTCAGCTCCTCCATCATACTTGATGTTCTTCACTTTGGTCTGAACCACCAGGAAGTGCATGTACATCTCAGTCAGTGTCTTGGGCAGCTTTCCTCCATCCTGTTGGCTTTTAACACTCTCTCTAGAACTGCAGCAGTGATCAAGCAGAAGATTGGGATGTGACACATGATGTGGAGGCTTCGTGATGTCTTGATATGAGAGATTATGGTGTTGGCCTCTTCCTTGTCTCTGAGTCTCTTCCTGAAGTACTCTTCCTTCTGTGGGTCAGTGAACCCTCTGACCTCAGTAACCATGTCTATATATTCAGCAGGGATCTGATTGGCTGCTGCAGGTCGTGTGGTTATCCAGATGTGAGCAGAAGGAAGCAACTGTCCCCTGATGAGGTTTGTCAGCAGCACATCCACTGATGTGGACTCTGTAACATCAGTGAGGATCTCAGTGATGTGGAAGTTCAGAGGAAGTCGACATTCATCCAGACCATCAAAGATGAACACAACTTTGAACTTTTTAAAGTTACAGATTCCTGCTTCTTTGATTTCAGTGAAGAAGTGATGAATAAGTCCACTAAGCTGAACTTTCTATCCTTCAGTGAATTCAGCTCTCTGAATGGGAATGGAAACATGAACTGGATGTCCTGGTTGGTCTTGTCTTCAGTCCAGTCCAAAGTGAACTTTTGTGTCAGGAATGTTTTCCCGATGCCAGCCACTCCTTTGGTCAGAACTGTTCTGATTGGTTTGTCTCTTTCAGTCGAAGCTTTAAAGATGTCTTCACACCTGATTGTTGTTTCTGGTCTGTTTGGTTTCCAGGAAAACATTTCAATCTGTCTGACCTCATGTTCAGTGTTGACCACTCCGGTCCCTCCCTCTGTGATGCAGAGCTCTGTGTAGATCTCATTTAGAGTGGTTTGGTTTCCTGGTTTAGCAATCCCCTCAGAGACACACTGGAACTTCTTCTTTAGGTTACATTTAAATGTATTCTCACAAAGTGGATCAGGATTTTCTACAGGAAAGAACCAGAAACATGAGTGTTATGATTATAGAAAATGTGACAATTTCACTCCTGTAAAGACTGAATTTATGAAGAGAAATCCTCTCACTGCTCTGCAGACAGTCAGCCAGCTCCTCCTGTTTCATTATTCTCAGGAAGTTAACTGCAAGTTTCAGAAATGCCTCTCTGCTGCTCCTTCTCTGCTTCTCTTCCTCAGTGTCCAACACCTCCTCTTCATCCCTCTGACACTCTGAATAATCTGGATTCAGATCATTCTGCATCTTCTTTAGTTCATTCTTCACAAAAGTGATAATGTTTTCTTCCAGCATCTGGAAAATAAATGACACAATCTGAATTCATAAAAAAATCAGATCTTCATAGTAAAAATAAATTTTCACAGATTTGTTTTGTGTTTGTTTTCAATTGAACAAAATACCCTGTACTTATGTTCATTTTGCAGGAAACAATGAAAAAAATATATAATTAAAATACCCAATTAAAATAATTATTATAGTTAGATTGCAGGTTTTGTACAGGAAACAATAAAATAATAACATAAATTAAATTGGGTAATTTTAAGTACTCGGTTATTTCATGGTACAGTTTCCCATCTTACATCTTATGTGCCCTGTAGTTTCCTGCAAATTCCACGTAAGTACAGGGTACTCGCACCTTATTTTCAGGTCGTGTTATGAAGTCATGCTGAAACTTTGTTTTGAAAAGTGTTTTATAAATAAAAATAAAGTACAAAATTAATTCACTGTTGAATTATTTCTGATATTTTTATTTTATGATGAATATTGGACTGTGCAACATGAAAATAATTACAAACAGAGGTTGGTGTGGTGTACATGTACAAACCTTAAATACTGAGTCCAGATCAGATTGATGCTGCAGACTCTCCTGATCAGCTCTGTGGAGACATCATGAAGAAATTAGAACCATTTAGCACATAAATACAAGCCACAGATTTCTTCTTCTACTGTTAGATGATCATCCTGATTAAAACAAGCACAACTGTGCTGTAACAAACCTATTATGTTAATTTATAGACTTATTATTTAACTCCACTAGTCCAAAGCTAACAGGTCAGTGAAGGTTCTGTACCAGTCTTCTTGTAATGACCATATTATGGATATCTCCTGCACATTGCATCATCACATTAAAAAAGTCAGATTCGTGTTGATGTGTTGAAGTGTTTCATTTTAAGTTTGACCTTTGTGCCTTTAAAATACAAGGAAGAGCATCTTACAGCAGCAGCTGAAGTTTTTTTTCTGAGTATAAAAACTTATAATACACATAAACAAAATCATATGATGACACTTTGAATCAGCCTACACTCGGCTACATCTGTGGTGTTCAGTGTCCAGATGCTGAACAATAAAATGATCATCTTATGGTCTGTATTTGTATAAATGGTCTGTATTTGTATAGCACTTACTATCTTACTACATTATAATCCATTTTGTCTTGTTATTCCATGCAGGTCATATAAAAAAGGACCACTGGTGAAAAATGTAATGTAAATAATAAGGTTAAAAATAAAAGATTTGCTAATTTCCTTTATCGATTTTGTTGATGATTGCCATGGTGATGGGATGGTGTGTCACTATGAATTATGAGAATCATTTAATATTTAGAGAAATCCAGCAGCTCATACCGTGGCATCCAGCACCACACATACAGCTGCAGATTATTTCACCTTCCTATGCAAAACTGGCAACCGCATCATACTGAAACTCTCATTTACCAAATAAAAGAGTCAAACTAACTGCTGACACATTCCTGCTGATTATCACATAAATTATAATCAGTGTGATGCCCAGTGCAGGGAATGCAAGGCTGTTAAAATAGATTTATTTTTCTTTTAAATTAGCAGCCTCACTTATGGAGCTCTTCAATCTCAGGACTGAGGCCAGGTGTACCACAGAGCTGTAAGGTAAATGTGAAATGTCTTACTCCTCAGCAGCAGCAGACTTTGTTCCTTTAAAGTTAAAGATGAAATATTTTGACCAATCACTCTTTAAAGACACACAGCTGGGTCCAGGTTCAGGTTCAGGGGCATCTGATGTCTCAGTGATCCTGGTGAACAGAGAAAAAGATCATCAGGCAGAGAAATTACATTTTTCGCCTTCAGACACAAAAAGTACTGGATAAACTTGGAGCTAGTCACAGTGATAATATTACAATAAGGCTAAAAACTTTGATGCTCTTCACAATGTTCTCTTTAGTCTGTTTGTTTATCCAACTGTCTTTTCTTCTTTTTGTGAACAAAGTTAAAAAATTAAATAAATAAATGACTAAACCAAACCTGTTTACTCATGGAGTTAAGATACGTTTAACATTTTGTTAAGTCTTACCTCTCATCAGGAGTCAGTTTCCTGCTTTTAAAGTCAGGACGGTCTTTCTCTGGAGATCTGGGTCTGGTCTCAGGCTCAGGAGAGTCTGGTCTGAGGAGTGAGGAAAAGAATAAGGCAGGGTTATATATATATACACTTTTTTAATCTCCAGGTGGAACATACGCTGGAAAAACTTTGCAGGGTTAAATTGAATGAACAAAACAGAGAGCAGGTTTTTTGTAGAGTTACTGCATGAAATCATTTCTGTATTTGTTCTTTTAGCAGTGACGATAACGTGAGGTTTTATGTGTGATACCTTTCCATGTTGGTAAAAACCTGCAGTCACCTGATGGGAGAGAAAAGTGAGAATAAAACACAGATTATTTTTTTTTTCTGTTTATTGAGATATTTGATAGGGAGAAGGTGGTGACTTGTTTAAGTATAATAATAGTTTTATATTATATTATATTATATTATATTATATTATATTATATTATATTATATTATATTACATTACATTACATTATATTATTTTATATTATATTATATTATAATTGAGGTTTCATTGTTTTTCAAAAAAATCTGAAATAAAGTGAGCTGTGTTGTCTGGCAATCAAAGAGTCAACAAATAATCATTGTGATGATTAAACTTTTTAAAGAGGAGATTACATAGAAAACAAATTTTAAAAAAGCATAAAAAACTTACATGATATAAATCAGATCAAAGATTCACTTTTTCATCATCGTCCTGAACACTGTCTGTCTGCAGCTGTTTGCTGTCTGCACTAGGATAAGATCTGATTCTGTTCTTTCTCTATTAAGGTCTTGTCTTACTTTCATCACTTTATGCTTCAGGAGTTTGAGTCTGTACTTAAGTAAAGTATTCTGTAGCTCACTTCCTTGTTTTTCTCTTATCTGTTATTGTTTTGAATACAGGTGCTCACTGTACTGATGACACGCCTACACTGTTAGACTGGTTAAACTGGTTAAACTGGTTAAACACTGCCTTGTTCTGGTGTTTTGCTGAATTTCCTGCCCCTGGCTACTGAATTTCATCCATCAAGTAAAGGGTTTGAACAACTAAACATAAATTATGCAGTTACTAAATGGCGTAAAACATTTTAATTGAATAATAATTATGTTAAGAACTGTAGGGCTCTGCGTCCTGACAACGTCAGAAATGATCCAGCCACCTAAATCAGACACATGAAAAATTACACAGAGAGCTCATCACCCAGAGGATTAATGGTTTTGTCAAAGCACATAAAACCATCATCTGATTATCTGAAAACACAAAACACCTAATTCATGGTTCATGTCTCACCTTTAGTCCTTCCAACAGAGTCTGTTCTGCCTGCAGTGGGAAACCTTCAGCCTCCTCAGTCCAGTAAAAAGGTTCTCAAAGGTTTTGTGGTCACGACCCCCTTTCAGAGGACAACATTATCCCATATAATCAGCTGTTTTGGTCTTAGCTTCACATGATGATGTGCACTGACTGAAATATTTAACCACATTCACCAGATAGCTGACTGGCTTATAATTCATTTGTAGCAGGACAGAAGACACAGAATTACAGTAAAGAAAAATGAAAGATAAAATACATACGTTTGCCGTGTGTCCTTCTTTCACTCTACCTTTTTCATCAGCCCTTACAGGACAAAGAACCAAGTGTATTTCCATATGCAAACACAGCCGTCACGCCTGGCTGCCTGGGTCAGGGTACATCAGCGAGTTTGTTCCTCTGTTTGTGTTCACTACAGCTTCTGTTCAGTTTTCAGCAGCTTTGAAGAAACACACAGTTATTATTAGGTTTGGTTTTATGAGTAAAGTTTGAAGACAGCAGTAAAACAGGAGTAAAAAATAACAATAATTATGTGTCTGTGTTGACCTTGAAACAAAAAATATGATCCTCTGTAATAGGAACTAATATGAGCTCATGTTTATGTGTCTCTTTGGCACACTTAGAAATGTTAATGTAGGTAAACTGGAAAATTTATTAATATTAATAATAATTCAGTGTCCAATCTCAGGTCATTGGCTCAGACGCAGTTTTCTTTCACTCTACCTGAGCTCACCATCTCAGTGACAGCCCCACTCTTTGGTGTAAATGAGTCTTTATATTTGCTTTCTGTAATTTGATTTTTCTTACTTATTGTGTGCTCACTGTCTGTACGTTTGTGTGTGTTTGTGTGCACAGACTTGACCAAATAAAGTAAAAAAAAAATCAAAGAATAAATAAGTTAGGGGTTAAGAGTCAGAATAGTTCATTAAATGAGTAAATGAGTAATGAGACGTTTCCATTTTTTGTTAAAAACTGAGTTCAAAGATGTCACTAGATGGTCACAGCACTCAGGAGGAACCTAAAACTGGTCAGAGAGAAGTCCTGCAAAATAAATCCTGCAGACGACTTGAACACGTGTTTTTTGTTTCTCTGTTCAGACGGTTGGTGGAATCTCATGTTTGTTCCTGATGCTTCACTTTTGTTGTTTCAGTTCCAGCCTGAACTCTGAACTACATGATCACACAGTGGATTCTTCATTTTGTGCCAAAATCTGTTTTGAGTTTTCAACAACAGGTGTTTAAATCCACTGTTTCCCCTGTTCTGTTGTGCCTGCCTGTGTTAGAGACTAAAACATTACACACATCACACTGGAGTGGGCGTTCACAACCAAACCTGGCAGATCCTGGAATTATATTTTTATCTTCTGGGGAGAGATAACTGATCAAACGGTCTCTGTCCTGTATAATGTCCATGACAATTTGTTTGGCAGAAATCTGGTTTCATTTAACACAACGTATTCACCTCAACACCTGTCATGTCCATGAAGGCGCTGAGCTGTCAGAGTCTCAGGAAGGACGAATCAGACTTCAGCTGTTCAGACTCAGGACTGATAACTCGGGACTGGACCTGTGTCAGATGAACGCTGATCATGGCTTCAGCTCTTTTGTCAAACTGAGTCTGAGAAAAAATGAAATTTTTTATATTATTTCCTTTCTGTTTGAAGCCAAAAGAAGCCTAAACACACAAGGTATCAATAGAAATCCCAGGACGTCCTCTATTTAGTACATGAGGACTTAGCTAAAAAGGGGCAAAAGATATGGACTTAAAACAAATGTCCATTACAGAGGACATAAATGCTGCTTCTCAGGAGGATAAATGTGTCAGGTTTGGTGGTGAACGTCCACTCCAGTGTGATGTTGTGGTTCTCCTCTGCCTGATAGCAGGTCTGTGTGACATTGACTACAAATGATCCTGTTGAGGAGACAGAGAGGGAAAGAGAGGAGCAGACACACTGAAAACTGGAACAAATCTGTTGTTGAGCTTTATTTGGAGTTCATGAAGTGAAGCTGTAAACTAACCAGAGACACATGAGGTGAGGATGATGAGCAGCAGGATCCTGCAGATCATCTTCTCCCTGTGACGATAAAATTTGATTTGAGGAAGAACCTTTTCACACACATATATATGTTTTAAATAAAAGTATAAAAAACTCAGCAGAGCTGAATCCTGTCTCACATGAACTTTCTCATCTTCTAAAACATTTTGGCAGCTACCCCTCAGCCTCTCCGCAGCTGCACTTCTAGTAAATGTGAAAATCACAGGTGATCTCAGAAAAGTTGACTCTGAACTTGAGGTCAAGATCACAGGGATTCAAACTCATCTCAGAGCTGACAACCTGTCTCTGAATGTGGACAAAACAAAAGAGATGATGTTGACTTCAGGAGAGCATGGAGAGATCACTGCCCACTTAACATCAATAGATCCTCTGAGGTTGTCAAGAGCACCAGATTCCTTGGTCTCTACCTGGTGGAGAACCTCTCCTGGTCCCTCAACACCAGCTCCATAACCAAAAAAGCCCAGCAGCGTGTCTACTTCCTGCAGAAGCAGAGGAAAGCCCATCTGCCATCATCCATTCTTACCACCTTCTACAGAGGGACTGTCGAGAGCATCCTGAGCAGCTGCATCACTGCCTGGTGTGGTAACTGCACCATATCGGATTGCAATACCCTACAAGGGATAGTGAGAGCAGCTGAGAAGATCACTGGAGCCTCTCTTCCCTCCACCAAGGACACTTTCAGCACCCGCTCCATCTGCAACGCCACCAGCACTATGGAGGACCTCACACACACTTTTCACCCTGCTGCCTTCTGGAAAGAGATAATGGAGCATTCGGGCCCTCACTGCCAGACTATGGAACAGTTTCTTCCCCCAAGCCGTCAGACTCCTGAACACTCAGTGACTGGACACACACACACACACACACACACACACACACACACACACACACACACACACACACACACACACACACACACATCCATTGCTCTGTCTTGTGTCTGTGTCGCCCTGTTCTGTCTAGTGTTGCACTGTCTTGTCTTGTTTTCTTAGCAGTTTTTTGCACATTGCACTTTACGTAGTCCCGTGTTTTTCTATTATATGTCATATGTAGCACCAGGGCCTCGGAGAAAAGCTGTCATTTCACTCTGTACTGTACGACTGCACATGGTAATGACAATAACAGACACTTTACACTTGGCAGAGTTTGCAGCCACAGTTTAAGTGCAGCTCACCAGCACATGAAGAGTTAATGTCGTCTATGATCCAAATCATGATCATTGTTCTGTGCACACTTTCAGCTACAAGATGTAAAATTGTCTGTTGATATCAGAGTGAAGTGTGTTGTTTTGTTACTCCAGTAACATGTTTAGATGTTTGCAGGCTGAGTTTATCTGTACCCGTCCTTGTGTTTCTCCGTCTCTGGCAGCTGTCTACGAACCATGAGCTCCTCTCTATGAACGTGGAAGAACATGTGAAGTTTTCTCTGTTGATTTTACCCGGTGCATTTCACTCACTGACCTGCAAGATAAAAACTAAATATCACTGTAATAGATTTTCATTTCATCAGACCTCACAGATAAGTTGAGCATTAGCCAACAGGGGGCGTTTCTCACCAGAAAATAAATGAGGCAAAATTAAACAGGTCACGTGATCGGTGTTCTTTAAAAGTTCCTTATAAAGACAGCATAAACAATTTACTGTCAGTGTAGAGGATGGAAATCAGCCTGTTCAACTAATGAAACATCAGCTGACATCTGGTTGAATTCACTTGTGTAAATCCACAAAGAGCAGCAGGTCAGCTGATCACAGCCTGTACATTCAGAAAATCTACTGAAGCTCTCAATAGAAATTATGTGAGTCATGATTCTTTTCAGACACTGAGCCATTACAACTGATCTTAGGGTTCCTCCACCTGCTGAATCCACTTCAACCCCTGACTCCTCATTTTCCTGTTTAGAGACAAAGTCGCCCTCGACAATGTAGGCAACAGAAAATAGAGCCACTTTTTATTTTCCTTCTTTTTCTCTGCTCATGAGGCAGAGCTCAGCTACGTTTTACTTTCTTACTCTGAGTACATTTCAGAGCCTGTACTTTTTCACTTTTAAGTAAAGACACTGAATCAGTACTTTAACTTTTACTGGAGCATTTTTTAACACAGGTATCTGTACTTCTACTTAAGTACAACATGTGTGTACTTTTGCCACCTCTGCGTATCAGCCACATTAAAGTCTCCCTCTTCTGTGGTGCCGCCTTTACAATGTGTTAAAGTCTTCTTTATAATGATCTTGTTTCACCTCTGAGGGGAAATTTTGATGCTGGTCCTCTTTGTCTGTTCACTGCCTGCTGGAAACTTACCTGCTCGCTGCTGCTGCTCTTCCTCTCAGCTTGAAAACTCACCCGCCTGCCCTCCTGTCTGCACCTCTGCTCTGAAAAAGGAAAGGAAAGGTTAGACATGTTGTTCTTCTCCTCACTCCACCACACACCTGGAGAAACCCCCTCTCTGCAGCACTTGGCCTTGACAGCACAAGGTCCTGGTCCACGTTTACATGTCTTCATAAGTTAACAGATGTGAAGTATTTTCACATACGGCCCTTAAAGCTTTTGTTAAAATGCTCCACAACACTTGGTTCAATCTGGCTTTATGCAGAGAAATGTGTGATGTTAAACTGAACCATCAGCTGATGGAAATGTTTATTATTAAACTCCTCGCCTTCATCTGTTGGAAGTTTAACAGGTACACATCCTTCACTCATCCTCAAAAGCAGATGCAACAGATGCTGCTGCCTTGGTTTGAAGACACCTGCATGCATACTTAGAAAATCCATCTGTACATGTCAGTAAGTGTCTCACATTATCATTATCTGCACAATATTCACCCATATCAGCCAAATCAGCCTCAAACTGTTTGTCGATTCCACCAATCAAAACTCTGTTTCTGGGGAAAAGTCTTCTTGCTGGTTTATGAAGTGTGTAAGTATCCTCCCTCTTTAAACAATGACAATGTTTCACCTCCAGTAGTGACAACATCAATCAATCAATCAATCAATCAATCAATCAATCAATCAATCAAT